AGTTACCAGAACCTTATATTGGACATGAAATAAACCTATCCCATACAAATTGAAAATCAGATTAAATTACTGATTGCTGATATAAAAAGTAACGAAAAGATGCGGAGATCTTCGCAGAATAGCGGTCTCCAATAGTTTAAAGTGCAAAAAACATGGGAAATCTCTTAGGGTTAGTATGAGATTTCCGCTCAGTTAAAATTTTCCGAGAGCCCAAGATTTTTTTCACATATTTATTATTCGTAGTGGATTTGAATGCTATGGACTCAAGAAATCATTTGATATACTAGTCCCTAAAAAGCAATGGAGAAGCCCCAGGGGGAATTTTCGATCCAAACAGAGCCTTTTTCTACCATTGCAGATTTAAACGTTACTAAAGCTACTACTTCATTTACTAACTACAGTTATGGAAGTAGTAGGAAGTTATTAACGTTGACGAAAAGACTTTGATTAGATTTCATTGTTATTTTCGCCTAAAATGATCAAACAAACACGCCTAAAAATAAAAACTCTTTCCATCGAAAGTCCAAAACTGAACTCGTAAAACTCATATACTATGCAATTATTGCAGGCTACTATGCCACTCAGATCCTTGAATTAACGAGCTAGCGGCATCAAAAAAAATTAAGAAACAGAAACACAAAAATAAAACGAAATAGATATCGGATAAAATCAGGAGATTCGAGTTGTGGACTCAGGAATTCTATGACTGGATATGAATGCTATAAGAAATATCATGCAAATGGTGAGGACTCAAGCTGTCGTCACATAAAATCTTGGAGATTTTTGTTCAACAAGGAATACGGAGGGGAAAAATACCGTGTATAGTTATGGAAATGAACAACAATCAAAGAGAGCTTTTCCAACAGTTTGGTACTACACAACAGACATCTAATTAAAAAAGCAATTGCAAAGTATAGTTCTGACAATAGGTCGGAGAAAACCTATATTCCACCCTCAGAAAACTCAGAAAAAAGCTTTGAAGATCTTTTTTCGATGACCGACAAGAATCGCTGCCACGTTCGACGCACGCGGCGTCGTGGGCGCCGTCGCGTGCGCCGAACGCGATGGACAAGCGGAATTTGAGAAAAGCGGTCATGGTTTACTGGTAACCCAGGCCTTCGCGTACAGAGCTTCTGAGTGCACTTAAACCAGCTAAGAGTAGTTCTTGGAAAGTAGCCATTGATGTTGCATCGAACTTAAACCACTTTAAGATGGAAAAATGACCAAGTAGAAAGGGTGAAATAACGTGCTCTAATCACAATGGACTCGTCAAGAAAGCAAGGTTAACTTTTGCTTTGCCCCCCATATGCTTCGTTAAATTCTCATGGTTCTCTTATGTGCATACATTCGTGCTCATACGCCTAAGGAAACCTGGCGGCAACACAGTTGGGGAGGGAGGACACTCGGCAGCATTTCTTTCTGTTCTCTAACCCATGCTCCGGGCTATAGAGTGAAGTCTTTCCAGAGTCGCCAAGGGATGTCTGGCAGAGGGTCTCTGCAGAATATTCTTGCTCTGGGAAAGGGGACTCCTAATCGCACCCCCCCCTCCCCCCCCCCCCACCCAATTATATTCGGGCACCGCTACATTTAACTCCACCCCCCGCTGACCTCGCGCCCCTCACTCTCACCCCCCCCCCCGAGTTGGTAGCGCGGCATGCACCTCATAGGATCGGATCGTCGGCACAAAGTCATCAAGGCTTAACTCCCTCTACTGTAGGCAGCTATTACACTACACAGGGGCATCGACGGGTCCTCTCCTGTAGTAACTCTGCCCTCCGCCCTCTCGCTTCCCCCGCCTCGGCGGGCCCCCCCGCGGGGGTGCTGAGATGGAGAAACTGGAAAAGATTCCTTGTGCAATAATGGTACAAGATTAAGTCGATGTATCCACAACGTAATTTTCGACTACGCCACTACGGCGCGACGTCCGAACCGGCGAAGGATCTTGACTCGCCCCAGAAAGGGAGGGGATTGCGATTGAGGAGCCGGCTCTTTGGTAAAGGTGCATTCTTCGCGCCTAACACCGGTGATCACCCATCTCCCTACCAATGCACAACGCGCCAGAAGACATCGTCAAGGCTCTACGCGGCCTCCCCCCCCCCCGAGTCTTAAATTCAAATTGGGGTCTTTCCCCAGTCCAAGGTACACCAAATTTTTCCCTACCACCCCCCCCTACAACCGCCGCACTTTCTTTAGATAGCGGTACCATATTTCGCTCCTGAAAGGATAAATACTGATCTACACGCATTCCAACGAACTGTTGAGTTTATGTTTGTGTATGGCACTCGGCACTGAACAGTGGCATCCGGTTGTAATATGACATCAACTGGTGGCGTATCCACAGGAGGGGGTCCCCCCCTTTTCTCAGCTATTGCATTTGCTGATTTCATATTAGCTTCAGGATTTGTTCGGTCCTACCTTCAGCTCTCAAAGCCCAGGCGGATGAGATTGAGCTGGTGTATGTGGTGCAAAATCCTGGATCACCTCACGTCCAGGCTCGCCAGGCTATTCTTATGGCGCTGGCTAAAAGGTGCCAAAGTTGTCTGGGAGCACGAGAACAGGGAAGTGTGCACAGTTGGCCTTCCCCTGTTATTGTCTGGATAGCATTCAAATGCCACTCATCCTCCGAAGCGGAGAAGGATGCGCGGTGTATCCTGCGAAAGCTCAGAAGAAGCTGTTTCTCAGTGTCCAGCGGAAAGCCGGCTGGACGACGTGCATTCGCTGAAAACGAGATTAATCATCAAAGTTTTTCAGAGTGAAACCCGAATCGATATGTGATGTGAGGCGGTGTGCCTAATCAGCGCGCTAGTTTGTGTCGTGTGTGACGGGGACGAGAAAGCGCAGCGCTCACGGCATGTGGGCACCTTTGCTCTTAGGCTTCAGGAAGTCGTCGAAGCAAATGCGCTCAGCGTAAACGAGTGCTAAAGAGTGGCATTGTCACTCTCGGACAAATATGGAGCGGAGTATCGACCGCATGGCGGAAACTGGTCACTTAAGAGACTCGTCACTCAAAAGTGAGTCCTAGGACAAAGCTTCGACGGAAGGGGATGTGATGCAAGCCGACAGAGATTTACTTTGGAGGGGCCTTCTCTTAATTTTATATGGAGAGTCTTTCAAGTCATGGAGCGCTTTTTCAGGAAGGTCTGAGGGAGAAAGCATGGGTGGACCACAAAAGTGCAGCCCACAGTTTTTCCTGCTCACTTCAGGGAATGTCAAAAAAAGCGAAAAGCTTCTGCGGGCTATGATGAATATGATGATCACGGCCACGAGAAAACAAAAATTACACATGGAAAACTTTGACGATCAAAGGGGATCAAACCATCAAACGCGCTGTACGGCTCGGGAGGGGCATTTCGCCTTCACAAGCTCCTTTCATTCGTTCTTGTTGACTAACAGGTAAACTCTTGTTAAAGTGCGAACTGGTACAACTAAGCCACGTCGGTTACAAGAATTTACAGGGCTTCACAAGGTAACTTGTACAGGCTCGGCTGAATGCCATTCTGTGCCCCATCAAACTGACTAATAGTAAGCCCCATCAAGCTATTTGAACTCATTTCTGTGGCGTCCCCAGAAGTAAAATGAATCTTACCGCTGTGGTCTATTTATGTTCCCCTCTTACTACAAGTTTTTTTCTTTTGTTTTTTTCTTGAAAAGCGCCTCTATTGCTGATACACCTTCTTGCTCAGCACTGTCTCAACGAGAATATTGTCGTCAGATCCTCAACCACCGCCTTCAAGAAACCCTCCTCGACTCAAAGTTTTGTGTTCATCGCCCCTACTCTTTGTATATAAACCCCTAACAAAGTCGACCCAGCTAGCAGCAGCAAGAGGTTACAATTAAAAACCGATTATAATCTATTTTATTCGGAATTTCACTTTTCACATAGATACTGCAGCTTCTAAGCTGCTTAAATACGACCCTACCCTTGCCGATTCCATGACGACCAGGACACTACCTGGATTTCAAGAACATTTCCAAATTTCGACCCCCCTGTAAAAGCTCTGTGAGTGTAGCTAGAGGTCTAAACTGTCATAATATAAAATTGCTTCCTGCAGGCCTGGCGGAGGGACGCCTGGCACTGAAAAAAATTGACAATGAAGCCTTTTTTATAACATGCATGACCCTTCCCTCCGCGCTGTGCAGTCCTTCAAACCCCTCAGTTATCTCTTGTTGGAATGCCAGAATTTCGGCGTGTTCCCTCATACCCAGCATTGGATAAGTTAGATTGCTTTCTCTCAAAATTACCTCTCCTGAACTCGCAAGCTTAGATCAACTCGTTTATAGCCTCAGCCCAAAGGGTCATTTAGGTAGTCTCGATTGACCCAAAGTTGTCTGAGGCTTTTGCGCTGAAGCGTCAGAATTACACTCCACCCCACCAAATGTCTAACCAAATCTAACGACTGAATTTTGCCAAGAACCTCAACAGCATACCCGAACGTACAAGAATAATCCCAACCATAAAATCAAAGAAGAGAATAAATAAATAAAAAGCTGCTAGATAAGTAAATAAATAGATAAATAATGCAACAAACAATAAACATATAAACATGAGCGAGAAGAGTCACGAGAAATCACGTAAAAATGGCCATGCACTGAAAATAAATAGAAATAGTAGATCAGAAGGATCAGTTCAAGGAATGGCACTCATGGTCCGAAAATAAAGAAGGAATAAAAATATTAATAGTAGGAAGGTAGAGACTTCAAACACATGATGCTATGCCTGTAAGGATGCTGTA